TCATCATCATCATCATCATCATCATCATCATCATCGTCATCGTCATCATCATCATCATCATCATCATCATCATCGTCGTCATCGTCATCATCATCATGTTTTAAAGTAAAAAACAATATACAATGTACTTGAGACTTGGCTAGGGTTGGTCATATTTAATCAGATGTTCGTACAGGCCTGGATGTTCAACGTTTCGCCTGTTTGGCTTCTTCAGGAACATTGTATCTGAGAAAACAAAGTGATGACGCTATAGCAAAAAGCGTTCACTAGATCTATAAATTATGTATTGGTGCGATTTGGACAATATCGGAAAGAGCCGACATCATCATCATCATCATCATCATCCTCATCATCATCATCATCATCATCATCATCATCATCATCATCATCGCTGTAAAGTGGGAAAATAAAAACAAAGAGTATATACGGAGACTTGGGTATTTCGGATATACATTTGTGATATTGATTTAATTTTTAAAACACTGTGCTGGAACAACATAGGGGGAACTGCTGCTTTTTCTTTCCTCATCCTTACTATCGTCATTTTCTCCTTCTTCTTTTGTATGTTTGTCACTCTCTTGTGACCCGCTATTTCCGGGGTGCTTTGATAGTCGAAGCAGACTTTGTGCTGTTGAAGCTAGAGAGGTGAGCAGAGTAAGTCTGATTCCCCGTTTGGACTTCTCTGTTGACATCCACCCCTTGGTGTTCATATGACCTTATGCAGTTTCGCTCCGTTCGGACTTCATGAAGAACGGGTTGTTTTGTATGTTGTTGTTGTTTTTGTGTTTGTTTGGGGTTTGTTTGTTGTTGTTTTGGGGGGGGGTGTTTTGGTGTTTTGACAACTTCCATAAAGAGGCTCTCAGCAGAACTGGGCCTTGTTCAGTCCCGACTGAGCAAGAGGAAGATACTAATAATGTATTAGACTGGTCACATACTGACGACATTGTGTTTACTTTTAGAAAGAGTTTTACATAACTTGCAACACAATTTGGTCATATCATTGCCGAAGAATAGATGTGTTACAAGAGAGTAACATATACAAAAAAGGAGGAGAGATAAGGACGGTAGATGTTTGGTTTGAAAGAAGGAGCAAACCACACCAGAGCACCCACCAACTGCTCACCGATATTATGGTGGCTGTGGAGGACGGGGGAGGGGGGGGGGTGGCGATTTTTTCATTTTATAACAAGGAGATCTGGAACAATGTACTCAGCAATATACGCCACGCCGGGCTTCTATGTTGCCTGTCAGGGTGTCAGAGCCGATCCAGGCTGAGAGGGAAACAGCGTCCTCACAGAGGAGATGGGCAGAGTTATGTAACCCAAGTTGTTCTCTCTGTTTATTTTATGTGGATTTCGGAAAAAGAGGGAAAAAAACAAATGTACTCAAATGATCAAATAGACACACTTTTTTCTCTAGAAAACGTAGCCTTTTTTACCCCCCC